CTTTTTTCTCTAAGGATTACTTTCCAGTGTCTCCTGGGTATTTGTCTTCTTCCACTTAGAACTCTTAACTTTTATTTCTCTAAATCCTGTTGTAGAGAACCTTTCTCTTCTCAATATACTTGTATCTGGAAGAAATATCATTTTCTTCTGTAGTTTCAATTACCATCCACATGCTGGTGTCTTTCACAATATTTGCAAATTTTCTACCATCTTATGTTGTGGTTTGTGTTTGTAAACCATTTTGTTTGTTTCTTTTTGTATTTTTCTGACTTAGTCTTGTACTGCTTTATTTTTTTATAGGTTCTCATCTCAAAGTTTTTCATTCTGCTATGATTATTTTAGTTATTTGCTCTAAATTTTTAATAATGTTATTTGTCCTAATGGAGCTTATATTACTGTAGTATTGGTGAACTTTCCCTGAACAATTCAGATATTTTCTTCCGCTTTAATTTCATTCTTTACCCTCTCATTTCTATGTCATTTTAGCTCTATTTGTTCTAATCTTTAAAGTAAACATTTATGGAAATACAGCATTTTATTGAGGAAGTGTACAAGTCATAAGGGGAGAACTCAATGTATCTGTATAAAGCAAACCAACCATGTGTGTTCCATGTGGATCAAGAAGTAAAATGTTAATCAGTTCCTCAGAAGGCCTCTCAAGCACCTTCTAATTCCCAGCCCTACTCTCACGTCCCCAGACTAAGAAGCAGCATTATTTAGATTGCTGTTGACAAAGATTCACTTGAACTTCATGTACTAATCACCTTCTATAGCTGGGACAAAATACCTGACATCTGCAGTTTATTTTTGCTCACAGTTTCAAAGGATTCATTCCACAATTGGTTGGCTCCAAGCAAAAATGATATGACAAAAGGGCATGGATGCGGAAAGGTGCTCAACTCCGAGCCTTCAGGAAGCAGAGAGAGGGGCCAGAAGGGAAGAGCTGGGGACAAGAACACAGTCTTTTGGGTTACACCCCCAGTAATTTGCCAACCAGGCCCCACCTTTAATTGCATAGATCTGATTATTTCCCACGTAAGTGACATCTGAATGTGTGAGACTTTGGAGGGACATTTTAGATCCAAATCATAATGTCACCTGGCTGAATACATAGAAATTTACCAGTTGCTTGGAGAGGCTTGCATGCCCTTGATGGTTCCTAGCTCTTTCCCCAAATCCCTTGCAAAATTATTCAGACTCTTATTCATAGAGAATTTCTTTTTCTTTTTCCTTTCCTTTTTTCTCTTCTTTTTTTTTTTTTTTTTGAACTGCATATAAATGGAATCATAGAACATATTCTATTTCACCTGGCTTCTTCGGCACAATATTAAATACATGAAATTCACTTGTATCTTTGTATTTTGCAGCAATTTAAAATTCCAGTCATTATATAGCATTTAATTTTATGGCTGCACTCCTGATTTTGATAACTGTTACTATTGAGAGACATTGCTGGCTCTCTTTTATAAGCATTCTACTGTATGTCTCTTAGTGTTTGTCTCTGTTGAAAATACAGAAAGCTATAAAATTAGTGGTTGTATGTTATCTCTTCATCTTCAGTGCATAATGCAACCAACAATCTAGAGGGTTTACACCTACACAGCAGACTATGAGCAAACTGTATTGTGGATTTTCCTGGAACCTATCTGCACCAACATACTGGAGATTTCCTTCATTCCATACTAGTATTACAATCCCCCTCCGTTTCTAATGTCTTGTTTTCCTCTGGTTCAATTTCTAATTTTTTAAAGAGTATACCCCATAGTAACTCCCTGGAAAAACGCAAATCTTTGAATGTGAAAGTTTTGGGCCAAACATGTGAACCCCCTTTCTGATATGCTATTGGTTACAGAATATTAGGTTGGAATTGTTTGTCTTAAATTTTGGAGGTAATAGTCTTTTGTTTTCTAGCATCTAGTCTTGAGAACAAATAGTTATAAGATAATTTAATTCTGGCAGTTTTACATGTTAACTTTTACTTTATCCTCTCTAGGAGCTTTTTATTTTTTTTAATCCCAATCATTCTCTCTCATTTTTTGCAATTTCTATATACCTTGATAACCACTGTGTTAGGTATGTGGTGGGACTTTTCAGTCTGAAAAATTTTATCTTTTACTTTTAGGAAATTTTGTTCAATTATTTATTTGAAAGTAATATCTTCTGTATTTTTCTGTTTTATTTAAAATATTGTTATTTGGATATTGGATCTCTTGAATTACCTTCCTAATCTTTTTAAACTCTGATTTTCCATCTTTTTTCTTTTTTATACATTTTAAGATATTTGCTCAATTTTTCTATTGAGTTTTTCTTTTTCTTTTTTAAAAATAGTTTTTAGGTTTTCTTCAATGGACATAGTCTACTCATTTCTTTGAATTTCCTAGTGTTTTGATTTTTTTCTGATTTCTAAATTAATTTTATTTTTTGAATCACTTTTTCATGTTGGAGGCTTTTTGGAAGTGATCCTTAAATAAGGAACTGTTTTAACAATAGAACAGTGAAGCACTTACAACTTAAAGTAACAGAGTTTGTTGGGTTTTTATGGAAAGTATTAGAAAAACAATTTTTGTTTCCTTTGTTTTAGGTATAGAATTAAAGTTCACATTTCCTCTACTAAATATAGCAAAATGACTTTTCCAGTGTTCTATTTTTGACATTTTAAAATGTGTAAATTTGTGCAACCACCACTACCATCACTACAGTACAGAACAGGGGCCGGGTGTTTAGCTCACTGGCGTAAGTGCCTGCTTGGCAAATGTGAGGTCCTGAGTTTGATCCCTGGCACCAAAAAAACCTCAAAACAACAACAAAAAAACCCAAAACAACAACTCCCCCCCAAAAAACAATGCAGAACAATTAGTACAGAAATGCTTAATCTGCTGGAAGGCAAAATATATAATACTCCTGAAGACATACATATGGACAAAGACTTGCTGAACAAAACCCTAGTTACATAGGAAAATAATACCAAGAATCAACAAATGGGATCACATCGGATTAAAGAATTTCTGTGCAGCAAAGGAAACCACCAACAGAGTGAACAGACAACCTGCAGAATGGGAAAAAAATTTGTCCCCTGACTCCTCTGCAGACAAGAGACTAATATCTAGAATATATTGACAATTGAAAAAATTAGACCTCCCAAATTTAAAAACTGAATTAAGCAACGGGCATATGAAATGAATAGCTACTTCTCAGACAAAACAATTTACAAATTTCTAATAAATATGTGAAAAAATATTCAACATCTTTGGCCACTTGGAAACTCCGAATTCAAACAACAAGAGTCCATCTAACTCTAGAAAGAATAGCTGCCATCAAGAAATCAACCAATAACAGATGCTGGTGAAGTTGTGGGGAGGAAGGAACTCTTCTCCACAGTTAGAAATGTAAGCTGATAGGACCGCTATGGAAATCAGTATGGAAATTCCCCCAAGAGACTAGAAATAGAAATTCCATTGCACCCTGTTATTCCCCATCTAGGAAACTTCCCAAAAAGTTAAAGACATCATACCACAGTGATGTGTGCATACCCACATGTACAGCAGCACACGCGTAGTAGCCAGATCTTGGAAACAGCCTATATTACATCAACAGATGAATGAAAAGAAGAAAATGTGATATTTGTACCCAATGCAGTATTTTACTCTACCATAAGGAAGGATAAATTTGAGCAATTTTTAGGACAATGGTTGCTCCTGGAGACCACAGTGTAAATGAAGTAACTCCAACACAAAAACTTAAATATTTTATGGTTTCTCTTCTACGAAAAAGCTCAATATATATAGCAATATATAAAAGACAGATAATTAGAAAAAGGTGAGAAAGAGACAGAGACAGAGTCAGAGAAAAAAAGATACTATAATACAGAATTCAGCATGGACAATGTATCTAAAAGTGTACCTTGACTTAGGACAATTATCTTACATATTTTACATGTTCTTTGGTCTACTATTTTGGTTTTCAACTTGCATTTATATAATTAATTTTATATGGTCTTCTAAGATAAATGAATCTGATGCTGGAAAAATGAAAGGGGGTAGAAGGAAAGAGGAAGAGAATTGAGATGTGTTACGTACAACCCTTTAGCAGATCCAATCATCATGTACTAAAGAAAAAAAACAAAAAGAACAATTGTATCACCCCCAGTGCTCCCTGAGTCTGCGGCTACCTCCTTTTGTCCCTTCTACCTCTAGGCCATCATGAATCTGCTCCCTGTCTCCATAACTTTATGCCTTTTCAACGGTTATATAAATGGAACCCTGCAGTATGGGAATGGTTTCTCAAATGTGTTTGGAAATTCATCTGCCTTGTTGCAATATGTATTTTGTTTCCATTGTTTCTGAGTAGTAGTCTACTGTATAAGTGTAACACTGTTTATGCATTTCCTTCCTTGCTGACAGGTATTCGAGGTATTCAGGTTTGGTAATTACAAATGCAATTGTTATGACCATTCATGTAAGATTTTTAAAAAATGAATGTATGTTTTCATTTCTCTGTGGTAAATACCTGCACTGCTGGTCATTTGAGAAAAGTGTGTAGAACACTGTAAGAAACCAACGAACTCTTCTCCATAGTGGCTGTCCCTTTTTGCACACTATCAGCAAAGTATGAATTTTTTTGATTCCTCATTCCTATCAGTATTTTCTATTACTGTTATTTTTATTTAGCTTTCTAATAGGTAAGTACTATTGTACTATTATGATCTTAGCATGCATTTCTTTAATGCATACCATGCTAAACATTTTTTCATATGTTCACTTGCCATCCATGTATTTTCTTTAGGGACATGCATTTTAACTTTTTTTTTTTTTTTTTTTACTACATTTGTTTTAAATTGAGTTATCTTTTTTTTAACTATAAAATTTATGGATTTTTTTCATAGTCTGGATGTAAGACTGTTGTTATATATCAGTTTAGTCTGTTGAGTTTTTTATTCATTTTTATTTGTATATTATGAACTATATTTCAAGTGGCTAACTTTTATTATTTTTTTTTTAAAGTCACAAGAAAGATTATGTATGTCAGCTGGGATTAAGACTCCCAAAAGATCAGAACTGATGATTTCTAACACAACCTTTGTTAATTTTGATGTCATCAACTGTGTGGCCATTAGAACCTGTTCGGGCTGTTCCCGAGGACAGGGTGAGTTTGAATAGAGGGGACAGATGGTAAATAAGACCAGTATTCAAATGAATATGATACACAGTGTGTGTGTGTGTGTGTGTGTGTGTGTGTGTGTGTGTGTGTGCCAATATTTCCTTCAGTTACAAGGTTATATGTAAGGAGTTACTGTTCAGATTTTCTAAACAAACCCTAGTGGAAGCAAATATTCTCAGTGTGGTTTCTGCAATTCCTGTCCTCTGCTTGTCCTGGTGGCTGCCACATTCTGTCATTGTGTTGTGATGTCTTGCTAAACTCTGAGCTTCATAAAATCAGAGCTCACATCTCCCTTGTTATTATTTTATTACTTGGATATAACAGACAACCTATTGCCTAACAGGCAGTTCAGGGATAAAATGGGTAAATGGAGTTGAATGGATGGATACTTGAACACAAATACTGTTTTCAACAGCACAGGGATTAATATATTCACAAAGCGAGCCATAGGAATTCTCGTATAGTTGTTAAACACATGTCAGAAGTGGCAAGCCATACCTCAGAGGACTCACAGGCCAAGGTGAAAAAGGCAGAAGCAATCTAGTTGATCCAATCATGCTAAGAAGCAAACCCAAGTAATTCAAGTAAATATGCTCTTGTGGTTTGAATCACCAATTTAGATAATTGTTTGTTTTTTTAATTAAATGAATAATCAGCAAGTTTTCACTCCCTTTTCCCCAAGTAGGCAAAACCAAAGACTGTTTTCATGTGGGTTGACATCTGAGTTTAAGATTGTAAAAACAATAATAGGAATAAAAAATGCCTCAAGGCAAATCATATTTCTTCAATTCTTTAGTAGCTTACTATTTCGTATCATTCATAAGAAACTGAAAAAAAAACCCACTTTGTTCGTTATGAGCATTAATCCCTTCTTACTGGATCACTTTGGCCAAACCATCCCTTCATTTGCTTAAAAACTGTCTATTCTAGTCTCTGTTAAGGAACCAGAAAGTACACAATTCCTATCTTAAGCACAAAAATAAATATCTAAGCCCATCACTGAAATAGAGAATATTGAGAACAGCCCTAGAGAACCAGAGAATGGCTGGTGGTCAGTGAAGGGACCATGGAAAGGTGAGGTCGAATTTCATAGAGGTACCTCTTGAGCAGAGATCTGAGAGGTAAACAGAAGTTTTCAAGTGGAAGGAGGGAAGAGTTTCTGAATTAGAAATAGCATATGCCAGAAACAGAGATTCAGAAGAGCAAGTTATGTTGGGGTATCATGAAGAAGTCTAGCATGATTGAAACATAGAGGAAAGTAGGCAGCTGTGGCTGTTAGGTGAGCTGTATAACTTACAAGAGGTAGAATTTGGAGTCTTTCACACAAGATTTGAGTTCCAGCATGCACTACTGTCAACTAGCAGGTACAGCCCAAGGGTATTGTTAAACTTCCTAAAATGAACAGGGCTGCCTATGCAAGATAAAACTTCCTGAAACAAAATACCAATAGTACCAAGTGTGAGACCCTCTGGTCTCATGGAAAACTTAAACAGAGAGCATTTATTTACTAATAATACTAAGCACAAGAGGTGTTACACTCTAGTCTTTCCATCTTTTATCTTCCATTAATCAATGGTGAGTCTAATCATATCAATAACACATATACTTACGAACTTACACTTATACTTTAAACAGTTACCTGACAACACAATCTTCAAAAAACAAAACAAAACAACAACAAAAACCAAACTAGCAGAAGTGAAGATTCATGGTGTTGGTGTTAGAGAAGATATCAAGGAGTATACACTAGAGCTAATACTTGCAAATGGCATTATTACTGTTTACACAAATGACTGATTGAAGGTTGGTAATACTGTAGGAAATTTAGCAGAGTCCTCAGCTCTACCTGACAGTAGCACTGCCAACACCTTCCCACTAGTGACAGCCAGAAGTGATTCCAGATAGTTCCAAACGTTCTCTTAAAGACAAAACCACCCCTGGTACAAATCATTGCCCGAGAGTAGAGACTACACGATAGTTTGGCCAGTGTGGTTCTTGGTTCACCCTGGATCTGTGTCATGCGCAACCTAGCTTTTAATGAACATTCATGGTATGTTTTGTTTGTTTTTTTGTATGAATGAGTGGTGAAATTTAATACTGAATAAACTTGCAAGTTAAAAGTATTCAAGGACTTCAGTGAATTGAATTTGCCTTTGTGATTGTTGTCTTCCATCTTTGGTTAAGTATTTTTCTGTTTTCTAACTTATAGGTGGATTTACTGTGAAGACAAACCATTTGAAGTTTATAAACTCTCCAAACTTAGTAGCATTTCCATTTCCTCATGCGGCAATTTTAAAAGACTTGGATGGATCTCTGTCTGGGAAAGATAAAAGTCATATTCTTGCTTCTATGGAAACCCTTCCAGATTCTTGTTCGGTCAATGCAAACTTCAGTCAGATTGTCCAAGGCAGTGTCTGTGGGGAAGGTGTTCTCTTTCATCGTATGTCCATTGGGTTGTAAGTAGAATTAACTGGATATTTTAGCTTGCCAATGAGCATGTATGTATCATTCAGACTATTGAGGATTGTAGGAAGGAGATTGTTTTCTGATAATTTAAGATATTTAGTTCTATCAAAGTGAAATGTGAATAGCTAACTATGAAGTCTTGAGTTCATGGCAGTTTTGGGCTGATTCAAATGGCAGCTGCCAATATAACTGGACCTGATCTCTTGTAGTCCATGACTTCTGACACTTTGAGATAATGACTCATTCTTTAAAATATTTGCAACCAACAAAGAATTTAAAATATATTTAAAAGTATTATTTAAAAATTTTCAATAATGTTTATTCTCATTTATATACATAGCCTTTATTCAAGCTCTTTCTTAGTGCTCAGTATGCTCCAGGGAAGCAATTGTTGGTGCCTCCTATTACTTGCCAAGTTGCTTCACTTGAGTTCATTTTCCTTGTTAATTTCATGAACTATTGGATTTGTACAATACTTTTCCTATTAATATTGGAGCAAGGACTCTGTGGTTATGCTACTCAAACAGCCATTAAGTCAGCAGCTGGGCTGTTTATAATGCATAATAGGATTGCTTCTGCCCTTTTTAATTTCCAGGTAATGACTGCTGAGTGTCTAGGAGTCTTTCTTTTACCTATTTCAAATGCATTGTATATATTTAGCCACACTTTGTTTTAAGTGTCCTAACTCCATGAATATTAAGTCACTAATTCAATCAGATTGTGTTGGCATCTTATTTGAATAGGCAAACTATAGAGAGGGAAAATTTTGTGGTCAAGATTCTACTAATTCTGTATTTTGAATGCATGTGGAATCAGTATTTTATTCTGCTTTGGAGGGTTCAACAACACTATGTTAGCGTCGAATAGTCCAAACATTTTTCATTTTTTATTTCTGAATTGTTTATTATTCTGATATTAATAGGCTAGATTTTAGTGAATAAAATAACCATAATGGAGGGATACATTTTCATTTCTAACCTAGGTTATATAGAACGTGACCTTTTCTTCATTCTCAGGGGAATAGCCTAGTACTTTAATGGCATTTTATCGCTTTTAACAAAGATGATATTAATGAATGTTCTGGGCTTTATGAAAGCTAGTGATTTATTTCTTATATGCATTTTCTTAAATAAGGCAAATAGTTTTCTTAAATGAAGCAAATTGAAATCTAGGTACAGTTAAAAGGAAATTACATACTTGCATGATTCTCCTTATGAATTTGCTATACTCCTGTTTTATGCCTTTAAGACTTCCTAGAAAGGTCTCTGCCAGTGTAGGGCAGAGGTTTTTGAGTGTCTCAGTCATCTCTGAGCATCTTCACCTTGAGATCTTCAAAGAAGGATGCATAGGTGGCTGACTTGGCTGCAGACCATGATCTACACAGAGACTGATCATAACCCTGATGCTACATTCTAAATAGATTCAAAGAACTCCGAGTAGGCTGAAGAAATTCATCTAGGTTTTTCTGGGTATTTCCAGTTTTAGAATGGAAAACTCCATGACCTGAAAACCTCTTTAGTACCATAAAAACAAGGATAATTAGTCACCCTACTTCCTGCATATCTATTTATACTTTTTAGTTTTATTTGCAGGTCTATGGACAAACATGCAACTGTCTCAAATTAGTTCTGGAAAGGTCTCAGGATGTTTCCAGTTATGTCTCTTGGCTCTTGTGTTCTTCCTTTTAGGATAAGGCCATTGGCTTATATGAGCTCTGAGGTCTTGCCCTTCAAAGGGCAATCCATGAACTGCTTGCCTCAGCATGGCCATAGAGCTCCTGAGAAACTCAGAGTCTCGGGCTGGACCTCGGATGTCCTGAATCAGAATGGCCAGGTGATTCATACTAAAGTTGGAGTGGCTCTGCTCTGAGGTCCTTCTAATTTTACCATTTTATGATTCTATCCTTAGCTATTTGTGCTCAGTGGCTTGATCCTTGTCCCAGAGCGTTATAACCTCATTAGGAACATGTCAGCACTAATGAGCAATTTGAATTCAGTGTAGATGCAAACTTTGCTGCATTTCATGAAGAAAGGATTAATTTGTTGTGCTATTTGCCCTGGAGCAAGCACCCTAAGAGTTGATTTACAAAGCTCCACATCGTGATCTTTTGGGGTTGCACGTTGATGGAGATCCAACATGGCATAAGTGCCCTGCTGTCTTCACTTTTAGCTGTTCCCCTCTTTCTCAGTAAGAGGTCCCCAGAGGGCAGGGATTGAGGCTTTATGTAGCTATAGAAACAAGGGTGTCCTGTTGCCCCATGTGCTAAACTCCAAGTGCTTGGAGAGTGATTTCTTCCTTGTTAGAGCCATTTTGATATGGCTCCATTTTGGTCCATTTTGATATTAGAAACCTTTCCTTCTCGCACCTCACTGCCTTGTTTAAATCTGATGGGTACCGATATATGTGGTTTCCATGGTTGTGGTTCTACCAAATGGGTTGGCAGAGGCACATAAATATTTGAAAGTGGCTGTAATATTTGATTTTGAGTGAAGAACAAACTGCCACCGCACGTTAGTCAAGTTTGCTTTGTTAAAAGGACAGCTGAGTGCTGCTTATGTTGTTATCTCTCCTATCAGTTCTAAAGCATGCTTTCTGCAAGAGTCACAGTATTCTGGACAGTGCTTCCTTCACAGCTACCATTTCCTCCAAACTCAGGATTTTCACCTCCTAAAAGAGGCAAAGGTGGTGATATGTAATTAGCAGCTCCTTTAAGAAAATTAACCCTAGAGTCCTCAGATACTACCATGCCTCTCAAAACCTAAATAGATACAGGAGTGATGAAAATACACAGTGAATATTCAAATTTAAAAAGTGTCAATAATCCCCCTTTCCCATAGTCCCTCTTCCCTGGAGCACACATTCCCATTCACCCTGGCCTCTTCAGCAGTTCTGGAAGCAGTTCTAGAAGTACCCTTTCATGAATGTCTATATAAAGTGTCATTAAAAAATGGCAAATGTTGATACTAAGTGTCATCCAAGGTAAAGTCAGGGTCATAAAAATATTACGGTACATCCTCATCCACCTTGTTCACCAGTCCTGGTGCCAGGCAGCTTCTGATTGTTTCCCAAAGTCAGAATGCCATGAAAACTACACATTTTGAGTCATTTTAGGACACTGTGGCAGCCATAGCCACATAACTAAGTCAAAACAGCACAGTTTTGTCTAAAGAGGACTTTCAGAGCTGCTTCAGAAAGCAGGAAGAATGTGTGAAATTAGAGAGATTAATGACAGTGGATCCTCATTTGTAATAATGTTTTTAAAAGTTTAAACATTGGAAAATGCTATCAACAGATATTTTCTAGCTCTCTCATTAGGTTCCCTTTTGTTCTTTAAATACTGGTACTTGTTGGGGTTCTAGAGTTTTTTCTTTGCTTCTCAAGTCATATATACTGTCCTGGCAACCCGGGTTATTTTCACATCAGTTAGTATTCATCGATCCATCCCAATTTTTTCTTCCTGTTCGTCCTGCTTTACTGCACCATAGACCTGTTTATCTGACTGTCCTTAGAATTTATACTGTCCAGTACTGTAGAAATAAATATGTACTGATTTCTTGATTGTGGCTATTCCAAATTAAAATGTATGTAAGTATAAATTATCTATCGTATTTCTAGGAAATACTGACAGTGTATGAAAAACCTAGTAAGAAAAAGTAATTAAACTATTTGAATAATGTTCTTACACTTGTAGGAGGGTGAGAATTGTGGCTCGTCTTGTGGTGCCAATATCACATAGAACACAGTTATTCAAAATTAGTGCACAGGTTAATATAAATAAGAAAGTATGGACTCTCCCCCATCTCCCTTCATTGTTATCACAATCTGTATCTCTTAGAGCATGTTCCCACAGAGGTGTCAACGACCTTCGATTCTTGTGCAGAAAACTCAGGAATTAAAATGTTACCGCCAGTTTTATTTCTAAAATTGCTAGAAGCCTTTGACACTCCATGTCCCTTCATAATGTTTTTGGGGCTTTTCCCTTTCTGGAATTATCAGCTGATTAAAGGATTTATTTTAACTGCAGATTCCTTCTCTGAGTCCTTGCCCCAGCACTACTCAATCAGTAGTTTGCTTAAATTTGCATTGTTTTCTTGCTTGTCTTCTTGTTATGGTGAGAATGGGAATGCAGTTTCATAATTTTTATCTGAGAAAGTATGGTTTTTGCTGTAGCACATGCTGTATCTTTTTTAGTTGTGGTAGACTTACTTCAAATCTACAAATCAGACCTTAATTTTTACCTTTCAATTATTAACCTGATTGAGTGTGGGGAAAATGAGAAGCTTGCCACATGCTGTAGGTTGGTCCACCAATCCTTCTGAATTTTTGTGTTTTGAACAAAAAATATAATCAGGACATATACATTATGTCTGCAATTATTTTTCAAAATTTTGAAAAATGGAAGTGTTCTGAATCATGTACGGGTACAGGTCATGGTTCCTCTACTTCCTATGCATATTCCTTCAGACAAATTATTTTACCTCTTTTTGCTTCAGTTCTCACATCAGTAAATTGGGTATCTCACCAGATCAATGCCAGGTGCATAGTAAATGCTGCCTTAAAAATCACTATATTCCATTTGTTATTTACAAACAAGATATAAATATATTACTAACATAATAAAATATTATAGATTTTATGTTTCTGAGAATCAAAGGTCTGGCCAAGGAATTAAATTTACTCAAATGGAACTTAATCCAATTCTTCAAAACAGGGAAATAATTTCCAATGATCGTATGACATGATGCTAACCCAGCAAAATTTCCCAGATAGTCATAATATCTGGAGCCTTCAGGTCCCAGGCTTTCATTCAATGTGCCACATAGTTACTGTTTCTTTCTTCCTATTTCTAGAAAAGAAAAGGTTAATGTTCTTGTTGATCACCTTGATTCTTAGACCTTGCTTAATATCCTCTCCTGTAGTGCTTGTGTTCAGTTTTTACCTACGTAACTGCTCTTAATGTGTCAGTGTTCAAAGCATAAGGCACCCCCTGCCTCTGTGAATGCAAAAGTAAAGTAGAGTTCAAATGGAAATTTTGGCCTAGCTTCTTGTCTAATAGTCACCTAACTCTCCTTCCTAGGGATAAAAGGGTACAGCATTACTAATGGTATTTTTTCAGTTCTTAAAAAAAAGAGAAAAAAGGAAAAAAGAAAAAAGAACTCAATGAGACAGGAAAATTCAAAGGCGATCATCCTTTCTTAGTGGCAGAAATTGTGGAAGAAAAATATAAACTGGCCTAAAGGATCATAATGAAGCTCAAATTAAAGATTATTATCAACAAGATTATTATAAGATTATTCAATTCATGAATTATAAAGAGTGTAACGTTATGTCAGTAAATGTTTGACAACTAGTTTTCCAGAATACAAAGCCCTAGTTTATAGCATTTGCATAGTTTTGTAATGGATGTAAGTTTAAGCAACCTTTTCGAACATGATATTGAGAATGCGTGAAGTCAGGTTCTGGTGAGCTGTCAGTTAGCTGCACCCCAGCACCAGGGGTAATCCATGTTAAAGGGAAAACAGGATTCTTAGTCCATTCTTCCACCTTCCACAATTGATTTTCAGTGTCCCTGACAAGCAGTTTCCTACCTTCTGGATGCCAAGCTCCAGTGGTGATGCTGTGCTGATCCGGGGCACCCTTTGTAGCTGAACTCAGCAGGTAGAGTGGAGCAATGCTACCGTGCTGAAAGATCACCTCAAGCTGGACAGTGGGTAGCTGTTGCTTTCCTTTAGAGAATAAGACAGACATCATGTCATATCCTAATGGGATGGCACATAAGTAGATGCTACTGCAGAGGAGCTTCCAGGATGATTCTTGGGCCCTTTACAGTAAATCACTGTGTTAACCAACTCTAAACGAAGGTAGAAATACACTTTGGAAAGATCAAAGAGGACAGATAGATGTTCCCACCAGAAACACAGCACTAGTCATCATATAATCTGACTCTGCCTACATTCTAGTTTGTATGATATTTTAAGGCTTATTAAAACTTCAGAAAATACTTAGCACTGTGATTTATTTCATTTCTATCTTAGGCTTAGTACTTTACTCAGAAGAATACTGAGTCAATAAGGTTAAATACAGAAAATTGATGGGCATTGCATTTTCCTGGATGGTGGCAGCACAGCAGACAGGATAATGAGAGGGATTGAGCTCAGTGCATTTTCAAAGGCTGCTATGCCAGGATTTTGTTGGCTATGCTCAAAATTTTAACTTTGTCCTTTTTATTCAAAGATGAGACTGACAACAGCAAGCACAAATATCCAGAAGTTGCTTGCAGCCAGCCCTACTTGAAGCTAGCTATTATGATGTGTATTGCTTAGCAGATTTGTAATTATATAAGGCTTATTTCCCAATTGTTCAGAATCAAGAGCATTTAGAGCTCAGCTCGGTGTTTTTGTTAATACACAGAGATATGGACCCTCAGGAAAAGTACACTAATGGTAAAAAGAAACCAGGGAGTTAATATTTGTTCTCATTGATATTGCAGATTACCTAACAAATCCTTTGTGGGCAGTATACATTCAACAGTTCTACACAGTACGTGGGCACTAAATTACATAACTGTTTAAGTGGCTGGTACAGTCAGTTGATACTTTGGTTGGGACATTCTATCAAGAGCTAGTATTATATTTTAATGGAACATACACCTTAATTAAAAAGAGATTCTGTCATTTATAAAAAAATGAACAAACTCCAAGAGAAACTCCAGAGAAGTAAAAACAACACACAAGGCTTTCAGTCCTTTTGTCTTTTTGATTGTATGTTGCAGAAGCTGTTGCTGAAGCAGAAGGAAGGGTTAACTTTTAAAATGGACTGGTTGCCTCCTGATTTCTTGCACATAAAGCCATGAGAAGTTCAGGGAGAGGCTTCTTCCCATAGTAATGAAGCTCTCTGCTGCTAATGGCCCATGCAGACTCCCTTGGCTCCTCCAAATTAGAAATACTTTTGTGCTCCTTTGCTTCATTAACAGTAAAGAGAGGGAGATTGGTGGCTATTTAGGGCACAGGGAAATTGGTGGCTATTTAGGGCACAGGGAAAATTGTAGTAATTATGGTTGGTGAATTGTCTTCATGGTGTTCTTTGACTCGTGATGTTCTTTTGGTGCTTTGCATAGGAGCCCACTACTATCGATGTTGGCATTTGGCCTAAAAGGCTGAGAGCTGATCTGATTTTGAAGTTTTGGCCCCTAGAAATGGTCAATGCAAGGCATCTCGCCTGCTGGGATATGGGTCTTTTACATTTTGATTTGCTTTTTAGAGTGCACCATGTGGTCTTTCCTACCACTAGCTGTGATGAAGGTATGTTTGGAAACTTCCTTTTTGACTTGCACTCTAGAAAGCTAGTACTGCACATGATTACCTGGGAAACTGAATCCTGAGCAAACCTGGCTTGAAAAGGATAAGGGTGTCTTGATGGGATCAGGAATCTGGGAGAGTGGGCCAGCCATGAAGGGAAGAGACAAAGGGTAATTTAGGATCAAAATTGCTGTGACCAGACTCTGGTTGACTAAGAGGCTGAGGCACATTATTGGATGCCATTTGGAAAGAGAAGAATACCAGAAGAAAGATCCCAAAGACAAGACAAGAATAAGTTCGTTAATGATACCAGATAGTGGTGTGACAGTATTCAAAGAAAGGAGCATGTCTTTAAGGGCCTTCAGAAACTTGGAATTGGTGTGAAAAAATACATCTTTCAAGATGAGATCTGCTACACCATGTGGATAGAGTAGCTCAACAGGTCCTTCTGCACTTGGAGTCAGAACTGGCTGAGCAAGGGGCAGCACCAGACCCAGAAAAATAAGGGCCTATTGATCATTAAGTTTAACTGGAATTGGAGTTCACCATCTGCTCCCACCTGCCAAATGATAGAAAACTTCAGTCTCAACAACACTCCAGACAGTCGCAACTCCATGCAACCTATCCAAAAGACGATCAGGATGTTGTAAGGCAAAATGATACCTGAAACCAGTGATGCCAAAGTTCTCAAACACTGAGATAGCACACCAGGGGTGCCTTTAGGGAGCAGGGACCAATGATAATGTATCATTGTATATACAAAAAAAGTAACTATTTGTAAAGTGATTTAATTGATAACATTTTATTAGGATAGAAGAAATATGAATTTCTAAGGAAATCTTAGCACTCCCTGAATTAGAACCTACTACTAGAGCATATAGTTTGCACATACTCCAAAGAGGTTTTGTGTCTACTAGATACTTACATATTGGCAAATATTCTACAGATGTGGAGTTAACTATGTCAAACTCTGATAATTCATGATCAAATGGTTATCTCCTTTATTAGGAAGTTTATAGGAAATCTGACTCATGATATGAAAGGACACTTCATTTCTTTGTGTAAACCACTAATTGGAAATTCTGATTTATCAGTTAATCTCTCTTGAATCTAGGTCTTCTGATTCACTATTTGACTCCATATATCACTGAGAATGATGTAAGGAGACTCTTACATAATCTGAAACACACAGAATCATTTTCTGGACTCTGAAGTGTCCTACCCTAAATACCAAGATACACCTACTGCAGTAAAATTTCTACCTCTTACATATTTCTTAGTTGCAATTTATCTCTTTTCACTACATTTGTTTTACATTTATTTCCCAGAAGTTTGTTTTTGTAATATGGTAGTGCAAATAGTGCTGGATAGTCTTTTGGGAATCATTGTTTCAATCAGGGAATGTGTCAGGATGACTAAATACAAATAGCTAGGAATGAAGATAGAAAATTTAACATCCTAAATGCTTTCTAAAATTTATAATTTTAAATTAAATTCTACAAATAGGATGGTGAGGATGTGAACAGTTGTCAGTAGGATTAGAGACAAGATGAAATGGTATGGAGGGAAATCATGGAATGGATTGGAAGTTAGAACAGTGACCTTAACATCCACTGTGATTCTTGGAGTACAAATTAAGGAATATAAAGTAGTTCCAAATTAAATTGTGATGTAAGTGGAGGATATAAACTCTAACCATCGCAAGCCCAGCAAGAAATTTTTATCTCCAAGATTTCTAAAGATTCAGTTAATGCTATATAATCGTACCTTTACTTCCAAATGTCCCAAGTATTTTTATTTCTGTATTTTGTTAACAGATGAAACAAACTCATTAACTCATTAATCTCACTAGAAGTGCTACATTGCCAGAGTCAGTACTCCATGACATGAAAATTTTTGGATATATTTTTAAATGATCAAATATCATGGCTAAACTTCTAGGCGTTCTAACAAGTAGTAAGGAACAACAAATCTTGTGCCTCTTAGGTACTTTGTTAACTAGAGGTAGATGATGTTGGGCTTGGTGATGGCTACTGCCTGCTTCATGTGAATGATCTCTCAACGTTTTACTGTTGCTGTATGAGCTTTCATTGTCTCCATTTTAAATGAAAGGAGACCCACAGGCTGTGATGGCCCACTGCTGAAATCCTTGAACCCTGAGAGGCTAAGGCAGGTGCATTTCGAGATTCAGCTTAGACTAGGCAAATTAGCAACTTAGTGAGACCTTGTCTCAAAATAAAAATCAAAATGGTGCTAGGGATGTAGCTCAGTGTGAAGTCCCTAGGTTCAATCCCCAGTACTATACATAAAAAGAGAAGAAAGGAAGAAAGGAAGAAAAGAAAGAAAGAAAGAAAGAAAGAAAGAAAGAAAGAAAGAAAGAAAGAAAGAGGAAACAAAGGCAAAGAAAGAGCAGAAGAAAGAAAAGGTATCAAATCTTACACAGAGTGGTGATTTGTCTATGTTCACACACACTAGCATGTGCAGATCTTAATTTCCAGTTTATACCCATTTATCTCTAATTTGCCAAAGTGTATGAAGTTCTGAATTTCCTTGTTATGCGGGCATGATGACGCAGCCCTGCATTGCCGGCTGCACAGTGGGCTGGGGCAGAAGAACAGTTTAATCCCAGGCGCTCATAGCCACCCTGGGCAACCCAGGGAGAAATGGGCTGGAAATATTTTTATTCTTTTGCATAATCTGCCACCGGATTAGAGATCGGCCATGCATGTCCCACTTCTTCCAATTTCCCTCTACTTTGACAGTTTATTCATCTGCCTACAGCAAAATGTTAGTGAAACATTTTCTTGAAATCTAAACTGAAGGGAGAAAGACTATTTTGAGTTTTCTAAACTGTTACTTTAGTTTTTAGGTCCACTTTGACTCATTTTCAGAGTTTTAGCATGTGACTAAATATACAATTTAATGAAGTCTTTGAAGTCACTTTCTGGGATGGGGAGAACAATTTGAAGAGTCTTGGAGCCTATTTTTCTAGTTCTACTTCATGGCATTTACAAACATATATTGCTTCTGCCATATATTGCCTCAATTTGTTAAAATGTAGGTTTTGAAAGCTTTTATATAAATTGGGAAGATGGCCCTGGGTGCTTTTGGAATATGCCTTTATGCATGCTTCAGTCATATAAACTTGAGCTGAGTGCCTTTGTGTGTAGAGACCTGAGCCAGTGCAGGGATACCAGAGAGGCAGGAGAAAAAAAATCTAACTTAAGGATCATAGTCTACTTTTTAAAACATAAACTCCAGGAAACAGAAATGCTATAGTAGCAGTGAACCCTGGCCATAGGACAGGAGTCAGCTCACTGCTGCATTCTACCCTATAGAGAGGACTCCTGAGTCTGCTGGGCATTGGGAGTAGGGTATGTAAGAGTCTAAGCATGTTGGGTCCTAGGCATCTACCATTGCTCCATATGCGAATATCTGATTACTAAAAATAGCATGTTTTCTGCTGATGGTCAACTTGGTATATGACAAATTTTCACCATCTGTATTTCTTTGTTAAATTAATTGTCTACATGAACTAAGATGATATTTATTAGTATCTTTAAATCTGAATATTCTACCTTCAGTGTTACATATGAGGGATCCTATATTAACTTTCCCATGGGATGTTTTAACCAGCACAGTGATTGTGAATCCTACCATAGATACATAGACAATGAGCCTAAGATTTATAGGAAAGAGCAGGTGACTACAATTGATGAAACAGAAATGCATTAGGCTTTGAATGGGCAAATAACCTTGGAACCTCATGTTTTTCTTTTTAAATCATCCTAGAACAAGTGCTCCTGATGTTTTTTGTGATTTAATCATCACTGATAGTAGAAATAAGACAACCACTGTCAATTACGTCCATGACACGTTGTCTAACTGTTATGGCTGGATGGCTGTGCTCTTGGATCAAGAGACTTACTCACTGAGATTTGCGGATCCTTGTATCAACAAATCTTTGCAGGTAACTCTAGAATTCCATTCATTGGCATGTCCCATTCCCAATAAGGGATCTTACTTTCCTTCTTTGTAGTTATGTTTGCATATATTAGCTTCAGCTGATGCTGATAAATGGCAGTAGCATGTTTTGCTAGATGAATATGCCCCGAATGAGATTTAGTTGATCCAAATCCCATCTTGAATGTGGAACAGTTAAATTTGAAATATTAAATTTACGAATTCAATTGGAAATAATTTCTAAGAATTCTCTAGAACTCAAGGTTTTAGAATTACAGGCTTAAAAACAACTTTCCTCAGTTACGTGTTTGTAGCTGAAGAAAGTATCCTGAGACATTCATACATTTCACACTGCCACCTTGTGGGAAAAGATCAACTTGCACACAAAGTGCAAGAGCCCCAAGGCGGGTTGGGGTTGACAGTCAGGGGGCTCCCAAGTGGGAGGAGGAAGAGCTGTGTTGAAACTGGGTTCACTTTTTCTGAAAAGAGAAAGACAGAGGAGGAGAGGGAGAGAGACAGGGAGAGGAGAGGGAGAGGGAAAGAGAGAGACCCAACAAATTTCCTGAAGCTTTTTCCTAACGCAGGTCCTTCTCCTATCTCATGCACTTTCTCCCAAGCAGGCCTAAGAACACATCTTAGGAAGATGGAAGCTGCCTGGTGTACTATAGTTATGAGAAATCCAGGGTAGAAACTCTGATCTTTTCACTGGCTCTCAGAAAGGACATATGCCTCTGTTTCCTCTTCTGTGGTTCCGAAGAGAACATTATGGGAGTTTTCAGAAAGTGTAGGGAGCACGATGTCACTCTGGGGATGGACACCTTGGATATATGTCCTGGCTCAGCACTCTCCTGCTTTTTGATATGGGGAAAATTAGTGAACCCCTCCTTCCTTAGTATCCTCGGCTCTTAAGTGAGTCCATGGGAGCCGCAGCTGCTCCAGCAGTGGGAGCTCTGAATGGCACAAATGCACCATCCTCCTCTCAGAAAGGGCTTCCAGACCCTACCCAGCTCCTCTTGCTGTCTGGCCTGAGACAAGTCAGTTCACTAGTCCAGCCTTTGTTTTCTGCTTTGTCAGTTAAGGTTGATAAGCAAAAAGAACTTCGTGGTTTCTATCAGCTTACATATTTGATTATTTATAGCTCTAGCTACTAAATTGGGTAGGCTAATTTCCTACAAGCAAAGTACAGTTTATTTTTGTGCTATCCTATTTCTGAAATACTTCACCTTTGTTCTTTAGATCTTTGGTGGTGGTGGTGGGGATTCCTCACTGAATGAGCATTATTATGATTTTTCCCCCTTGTTCTTGAAGTACTCAGCAACATTTGACAACTTTTCTCCTGGAAGTTACCTCCTGGTTGTGCACACAAACTTGCCACCTTCCCCTCGTATCCTCATGAGATGTGGGAGTCGAGTGGGACGATCTCTTTTGTCTCTTCCCTTACCTGCTCAAGATCAAGGCTGTGACTGGTTTTTCAACAGCCAATCAAGGCAACTCACCTATCTAGGTAAGTTTCCAATGAGGTATGAATGTTAAGGACAAAAAAAAAAAAAAAATCAGGAGCCACCATTTATTCTTGTACTAGGCACAGAGCTATGAAGTGAGGGATTGAAAGTAATAGCTTGTGTTGTAATTAAGCAAGTGGGCTCTGAAGTCAGACCATGTGGGTTTAAACCCCAGTGCCAAGACTTACCAGGCTGAGGATACTAAACAGGCTTTTTCTTTTAAGACTTAGCTCCTTCTTATGCAAAATGGGAGGCTAAAGGAATCTATCTCAAAGGACAGAGAATCACATAAAGGATAACTTTTAAAACTCTTATCTGAACACCTAGTCCAAAGCAACACTTCATACATATCAATGTATTAGTACCTCTAATCTGCCTTAGGGCAGTGCTGTGCCTGTAGTCAACAAGTGAATATATATAAGGACAGCAAGGCTGACTGTGACCATAGACACCAGCAGGCTGAAGTGTACGTGGAAGGTGAGAAGGGGATCGTAGAAAGGGACCTGAGGTTAGGAGGAGAGATGGCAAAGGGTGGACTGCCATGTGCTGTGTCTGTTTTAGGTCAGGATTACTGGAATCTTCTTTTGGGGAACAGGGTAAAAGGATTTCCTTACCTTTTTGTATATCTTTAACAGAATCACATTTCTGGTATCAGGACTGTCCTCTTTTTTTGACTTCCTGGAGTCTGTCTCATGTTCTTTCCCCATTCTGATGTCAGTGCTGGTCACTTCTAGAACCAATCACATCAGCTCACTGTGAGATCACTGCCTATAGTGTCCTGTAAGAAAGAGACAAGATGACTGTCTAGAGTGATAATTTTGTTAAAAGTTAATCTTATACAGCCTCACCAAATTCAGGGAACTGTATCATCATGGCAGGATCCAGTCCCTGCCACAAATCAGACTTGGTCTGAGGACTTGTGGATCTGGGACACCATCCTGAGTTCCTTGACTCTTTCACTTGTGCTGACTATATGGTAACTGGCTCTGACCTACAGTTGAGGCCTGACAACTGAATTTAATATTGCTGGACAGAAGAATCTAGTGCTTTCTTGATGTTTTTAAGTTTTTGCCAAATTCAATGTCATATATTTTCTTTGCATTGAAATATACCACTCGTGTTTTATTTCTAATTGGACACATTCACAAATGTAAGACAAAACCATGAAAACTCAGGATGGACAGAGATTGTTGAGATTGATTACCACCAGAGACAAATACAGCCATTAGGTACAGCAAATAGTGGCCATTAACTTTATGAGTATTTGTTTGTTATATAGTCTAGAAGTTGTTTTTGTTTTAATCACTCTCTATTAGTATACTTCTAAAAAATCCTTACTCATTAGTCAGATTTTATTCATGAACTGTAAGCCAATTCAAATACCACCATGTAAGATAAACATTTAGGAAACAAAGACATCAAACAATGCAGCTACACAGACATTTTATCCTTTGACAGAATTCTTAATTAAATTAATACACACATTTATGGTCCAAATGCACTTTTGTGTAGAAAACTGTGTTTGTGTGCATTTATTTATAGCTATACATTTGTAAGTGTATATGTGCATATATATGTTATAAGTGAGTATTTTTATTTTACATTTTTACGAGGTAGAAAGCTTGTATTAGTTTTAAAAGATTCTTTGCATTACATAATCTGTTGTCTCAAACTTTGAATAAGATTTGGAAAAGGAACAGCAAGCAAGAGGAGGCTGATTGAAGGCTGGAGGTTGGAGGTTGGAGACCCTTCTTCCTTGAGGAGGATTCTTAGCAGAGGCTTGTATGGTTAATGATGCCTCCTGAATGCTCTGAGTACTGGAGCAGATGAGTGACTCAGTCACTTCTACTGCCATTTCTGGGCTGGCCCAGAGGTAAATGAGGATGGGAGAAACTGAGGATCATCTGCTTTTCCATGGGAACCTGACACAGCCACATTGGACTATGTAGATTTAGTCATAATTGTGGAGATCCTTTGTGTAAAGTTCACAATATCTATGGGAAGATGGTGGTTCCGATACTGTGCTTTCTGTATGTCTGCTTGCATTCTCAAATGCCATAATGACTGTGAGATAGTTACTGCAGCCGGAACCTTAACAAAGCACCGAGAAACAGAATTTCACATACTGGTTGACATACTGATTTGTAACCTTGACTTAACCATATATTTCAAATTCCATGACTTATAGTATTAGAATTGGGATAAATTACATAAAACACATTTAAGAAGAAGAAAACACTGCTGAAGACATTACATATATGCTGGATTGACAAGACACAGTGAAAGCTGTATATGTAGAAATTTGGTTGGATTACAGGGAAACTTCTTTCAGGTGCACAAAATTATGTACCAAATTATGTTCTGGAGTGTGCTGCTCTTTTGTCCAGCTGCTGTTTCACTCGGAGTGCTGCTTCACTGACAGTTGGCAGTGTTTCATTCACTTTTTGACCACTTCTAAGTGGACCATCTTTATACTGTTAGTAAGGTTACCACATCCCTCAGGATAGGAAGACTTTTTTTTTTTAATTACAATTATCTGCACTTCTTCCAGTTGACTGCTTCCTGTGTGATTTAAGATACCTGACTAATTTAGACCCAGATGAGAATGGAAGAGATAAGGACCCAGGCATTCTAGCTCCTGGCCGTGTATCCCTCCACTAGAGTGTGCTGCCCACTAAACAATCATTGATCACTAACTGAAAAGGATGAGTGAGTGGGGGGTGTGTGGTAGGCAGGGAAGAAAACTTCTCAGAGATCCCCAGTGACAAAAAAGAAAAGAAACCGCACATATATGTTTTGACCCTTACATTTCTCTTTTCCACCAAGGCAAGTTTTGCCTTTGTTCAGCAAATGTCTTTATGGAGTGCTGGGTTTTTGGAAAGCTCATGACCAGTGCTCGGGGCTTAGGGTTTTAATCAGAGGCTGGCTGACTGCTTTACCTAGGGCTAGGCATTATAATTGCTCCATGCCTCAATAGTTTCATTTATACAACGAGGTTAAGAATATTTACTTGTCTCTTGGAAATGTGGTACAAAACACTCACATGTATTAAAGAGTGATCAGCATGCCATGTTACTGTACTAAAGCATTTCTCCAATAGAATATTTCTCCAGAGTTTTTATTTTCCCCAGAAGATTAACAATGTTTGTATCTTGATTTCAGTATACATGTGATAACGTTTCTAAAAGTTTCTTTTTTTTTTAAATTAGATTTTGAAAGATACTTGTGGTCCATGATCAAGTGATAACAAGGGGAATTGTTGCCATAACTGAAGTATAATATCATTTAAGAACTTATTATCCATAGAATAAGACAACTTCACTCATTTAAAAGGTATCAGCAGATTGGTTGGGGTTGCCTTTCTAAAACCATTGAAAATGTCACCCAAGGAGCTACTTTCAAAGGAAACCACAAGTGAAGTTGTTGTGCGCTACAGCGTTTTGGATTAGGACCTAACAGGAGCAATATTGGGAGTGGCCTCTCTCAACTGGAACACTGACCTTGGGAATGGGTATGATTGTAGAAATAGTGCATGTTTATGTCTGTAAGTTAGGCGTCAAATTTAGCGAGCCCATTTTTCTGTTCATGCAGTTTGACTCATTGGCAGCTCCCGTCTCTGCCTTACGGAGCTGGTTCCCCGGTGCCTGTTTCCCTGCTGTTTTTTTCCAGGGATGTTTCAGTTCATGGTGAACTATTTTTATTTTTTAGTTACATTAGCGCTATGAAATAATTAGTCAGCTAATTAATCTGGTTTACAAGCTTTGTAGGATTCTTCAGCTGTCAGTCAGGCCCAGGCCCGAGGCCTCCATCTAGTCTCATCTCTCTTGCCCATGTGATTCCTGTTGCCATGGCTACTGGCTACATCTGCTGACACCCCACTCTCTATTTATTGCTTAATTAAGAATTTCACGCTCAGCCCTTATCTGTCTCTAAGAACAAGCGCACACTGTTAAGAAATTCCAAATTTAGGCCCGGACACAAGGAAAGCCTTTCTTACAGGCTTGGCTGCATGGAGCCTCTCTAAAGATTCTCAGCATCCCAGCCGCCAGCCTTCAATCAAAAATCATTAAATGGGGCAGAGATAATGAGCATGTAGCATATCAAAAGAAGGATGTTTGCTTGGTCCAAGGGAGGAAAAGCTGCTAGGCCCCATGCTCAGCTCCACTTCAAAGAGAGATGAGACCCCTCATCACTGGGGCCTGATAAAGCCCCATTTGTTCTGGGCTTGACTTATGCAAAAGGCCTGGCATGGCACAGTCCCCTTTCACAGACGTGGGTTCCCCTACCTCTCTCTCCACCTTCTCCAGCCCCCTCCCTGGCCTTCTGCATGCTCGTGTGTCAGCACTTAGGCAGCTGGGTCCTCCAAAGCATCAGGCCAAGCGTATAATCACTGACTCTCCACTCACAATGGCCACTTGTAGGGGGGCGGCCAGGAGGAGGTCTTCATCACAATAGGAGCACAATTATTGCAGCTGCTAGGGAAGGCCATGCTTCTTCCTGTAGAAATATAATAGGACTTGCCCAGAACAGGAGGTGAAGGTTTCAGGGAGGTGGTCGGGGTGGAGAGGGGCGGAGAGGGGTGGAGAAACAATCTTGAGTTGATTATTCATATTCTGACTCTTGGAAGCCCGATGTGGAGCCAGTGGGGTTCCAGCAGCTGCTCGTACACAGCCCTCTTCTAATAATTGTACATTCTGTCAGGGGTCAACTTACTTTTGACCCTGTCCTTTTATATTGGTAAAAGGCTCTTTGGGGCAAACTGTTGGGTTGTGTCAGGGTACATTAAATACTCAGCACCTCCTCCCCTTGCTTTACCCCAACCCAACCAGCAGCCTGTGATAAATTCATATCAGATGCTACACCATTCACAGTTGCCCTCCTGAATTCACACAGCCCCCATTCTCAACTGTGATTCGGATGAGCTGGGACATTGTGTGGGTGGCAGCTGAGAAGACCCGGTCTCTCTGCGAGTCTCAGAGGCTCCTGCCCCACTGCCTTCTTCTGATCCCACTGAAAAGAACGTGCCTTGGCAGGCTGGCCAGCGCATTTGTCCAGACGTCCCCCTCATAAAGATAAAGGCTGACTGTATGCTGAGGAGCCATGTGGGGTCTCCACGGCCAGCAGGGCTGTGGATAGAGCAAGCGGCAGATGGATTTGATTCCCTGTGCCAATTCACTTTGACTAAACTCAAGTCACATCATATGGATGGATCAGAAGTGATGCTGGTAACTTGGGAAAGCCTGAAAATAGGATGTTTCTCTGAGTTTGAGGCTAGGCTCTCAATCAGGGGTCATGCTGACCATCTAGCTTTTCTAGTCTCAATACGGTAGCGCATTGGCTGCCACCTAGATTCATCAGTGAGCCTGGAAGATCCTGTACAACTCCTTCAAAAGGAATTCTGTTAGGCTCTAAAGAGGCCACAGGACTGAAACAGTTCCCTAGAGCTCTTGGGAGGATTTTGTCAGCAGAATGGAATTATAATCTTTTGCAACTTTGTAGCCGTTCCCATGCTGAAGCCCTCTAAGGCAATCTATAGCGTTCTAGTTAATAAATTAATTTACATTCTTATAGAAAACTCATTCCCCAAAGATCCCCAAGGACTTTTACCAGTAATGTAGAGGATTGACTTGAGGGAAATGTACTAAGCTTTTCAGTAAAAATATAAATAATGGAACAGGAACTGGGGATGTGAGAAAGG